GGAAGTGGACCTCGGGGATCAAAGCTGATTACTCCGACTGGAACAGCAGGTTTTCTGTCGATCCCTTGAGAAACCACTGCGGAAAGATTGTTTGGCTTGAAGATTCAGACGATTTCCAGCTGCTGGATGGAAACTGCCATGAAAAGCTACCTTTCATCTGCCAACGTAAGATTTACTTTCAATGAGGGGGCTTTATGTGAAGAGGTCTGCAGTGAGCATTATAGAAAACTAATAATCCTAATTTTGATCATTGTATTTAATTTCTTCAGGTCAGCCATAACCTCTACGGAGCTCTGAAAACTACATAGATGGATCATCTTTCTGCTAAAAGTACTCTTTAATTACAAAGGGTTGCTCTGGATTGCATGTTTTTTATGTTAGATATATCGTTTTACATTTAGTTATTTTATTTCATTTTATACTTTATATATTTATTAAGCAGCATGATTAAAACAAGCAGTTTATCATCTTTAAAATTTTATTTTTACCTCTTTTTGTGTTTCTGTTAATGAAGAAGTAAAAAACCCAGAAAAATTAGAACTAAATTAACAAATCTGATTTGTATTTTTTGGCTCAGAATAAGATCAAGAGTGAAGTTTTTAAGGGATATTTTCAAAAAACCACTTTAAGGTACTTTATCCGTTTTACATGAAAAAGACCCAGAAAACTTTACTCTTTTTCATACAAGTTTATCATTTAATTTCATGTTATTTCAACTTTAAATGTTTTTTTTTTTGTTTTGTTTTTTTTTTTAACCATTTTTCTTAAGGTTTATATAAATGCAATATCTAACATAAAAGTTTATTATTTGTTTCTGTAGATATTGTGGGGCTATTGATTATATTTATATTTTTATCCATATATATAACACTGAGATGAGTGTTTTTGTCACTAATGCTACTTTATAATTAATTTTATTATTTTCTTAAGGTTCATTTATACTACCGTAATTTGTGGCTAAGCTTCAATCTCATGACTGATATCGATCCTTTGGTCACTTCTCAAAAAGAATAACAAGCCTACTAAGGTTTATAGACAGATTACATTACTTAATTTCTTTATTTCATATTATAATTTGACACAGTTAATAAATTTGTATTTGCTTTAATATTATCTGTGGTGATTGTTAAATTCTTGTGCCTTTGGTTTTTGACCTATAAAATACTATCTCACCAATAAATACAATCTAACAGATTCCCTATTGGGTTGTACAAGCTTTCATTGATTCTGAGCATTTATCTATGTTTTGTATTATAACTAAAAATGTATTTGGAAAGGTATATCTGAAGTTGATTTTTTCTATAAAATGATATCTAGCTTACATCTCATTATTTATCTTGTCATTAATTAGATATTTGTAGTGGTAAAAAGGAATTTAACTATGCAGTCGAGTTAAATAAACTGTGATTGATGGATTTCACTCAGTCGGCATTCTTTTTCTTTGCAAAGAAAATAGAGACAATCATGGCGTAATGCCCAGCCCTGCTCGGGCTGCACAAAGATTCGCATTAATTTAAACCCTGAAGGAAGGCTGTAAAGGTCTCCACATAGCATTACCCAAAACAATTATAGACAGTTGGAAACAACACGTTATAAAATAATCCCTTAGAAAAAGTCTAGCTTGTTATGAGAACCGTTATGTTTATCCCAATCTGTCAGGGTTTGGTTGTGATTTGAGGACCCAAATGCAGAGGCAGAGGTGAGTTTTTGTTGATTTAATGAAAGGTAAACAAATGACTGAGGCAGGAATCCAAAAATCCAACAAGAAAAAAGTAAAACAAACCAGAAACCATGGAGACTTCAGCGGAAAAATATCACAACAAGGTGAAACACAGTAAGACGGTGTAGGATGAAGTTAGATGAAGAACCAGCACGAGGAACTGCACAAGGAGAGTATTTATGGCTAAAGGAGGACTAAAGAGCAGATTTGGAGCAGGTGTGAGGAGAGCAGACTGGGAAGGAGCAAGGAAAAAGACCAACACAAGAGAGCAACAAATACAAAACCTTAGAACTTAAATATATCCAAAAAACACAACAAAAAAAGAATTAAACCAATAAACCTAGAAAACATGGAGCAAAGTTAAACTGAATACTTAAAAGAAAACATAACAGAACCAAGACTGACACAAACACTCCCTAATAGGATAAACAACCCCTCTCCCTTAGACACATTGTAGCCTTGCAGCTCTAAAGCTTAAATGAATGAAACTCAGCACTCAATCAATATATGTAAAAGGAAATTAATAAGATATTGTTGTTTTTTTCTTGTAGATAACTTTCAGGTTGATTAGTGATATATGTAAAAAAAAAAAATGTAAACTGAAAAAATTATAAATTAATAACTGATCTCACGTTGGAGAAATTAACCTCTGCATTTAACCAATCCCCTTTAAGATCCCCAGAGTGGCAATATGTTGGATCGGGGCTCGAACTCAAAACCTGAGAATTACAAGCTCTATGCCATTACCACTAAGCCGCCACTTCCCCAGCAATATAGCATAATTATCATTACCATAACTTTCTGAACAATTATTGTTTGTAGATCGAGTGAAAGGTTTTTGGTTTGTCAGGAGAGAGGATGCTAATGCTAAAGACATCAAAAATATTTTTTTATACAGGAGGAATATTATTGTAATTTTCATTTTAGAAATCCAGAAGCACAAGCCCAGTAAAAATGAATGGGAAAAGACATGAATTAAGCTATCTGAAATACATTTTAAGTAAATCTAATACATTTCAAAATGGCCACTTGTTATTTGTAAAGATTTATAGGGATCTGAAACTTAATTTTATACTTAATGTATTCTAAATGTATTCTTAAGTCCAATGTAATAGATGATGTAATTGACGAAATCAGTATTTACAGTTTTGACTTGAAGTAATGCAATTGTGACAAGAAAGAATCCTATTTTAATGATCTACAGTACAAATGGAACAAAGGAGTGGACTTTGAATATATTTCCAAACAGTCTGCCACAATAAATAGAGAAAGAGCAGAGTTGGATGCAGTCTCGGTTTGCATCTGGAGGGAAATAGGTTTAAGGTTCTCTGTTGGGGTAATGAGGGGGTTCCATTTTTTGACCTGTGGAAGTGGAGACTACCTGTGATAGTGTTGAAGTCATAATAATAATGGAACTTTATTAATCTCACATTGGAGAAATTTTCCTCTGCATTTAACCCATCCTCTTGAGGAGCAGCGGGCTGCCATTGTGTGGTGCCAGAGGAGCAGTGTGGGGGTTAGGGACCCAGAGTGGCAGTCTGTGGGAGTGAACTCAGAATCTCAGGAAGCTCTATGCCTTAACCACTGGGGCGCCACTCCCCCATCTTTCTTGTTATTCCTATCTAGGCTTGAAAAAAGCTGTAATGGACTTACTATTGGTTTTCTGTGGGAATGCTACAATGGAACTATGGGCTGGCCATGATCACACCAAGCCAATCATTGGTTATCTGTGTCCAACTCTAACAGATCATTTGATGTTCCCATGTGGAAGTTATTCACCAAGCTTGGAACAAATAGTTCTCTAGAACAGAGCGTGGCAGCAGTGATATTTTAAAATGAATTGTCCTAACTTTCATTTTTATTGTTAGTGTATTTACCCTGAACTGACAGCAAAAATACAGCAATTAATAATTCACATCAATAACTGACAAACACAGAATTCAAGCCATTTTCAGAACTAGTTTTGTGTATCATGAGGGAGAAGGTAGTTTCTCTCCAAGTCATTTAGGATCATTCTATGTGATCAGGGATAAAAATACAACTTCTAAATCCATTTAATTTGTGTATTATATAAT